CTGCCACATGGGCCTGCATAATCAGGATAGGAATGTCTGGTGGATGCTCTTCAACCTTCTTTTTGGCACTGGGAACATGCACAGTCTAAGATCACCAGACAGTACTCTGTTTGGCCTTCTTAGTTGGGTCCTTCCTGTTCTTATCTCTCTTCTTCCTCTTCTTTTTCTTGAAGTTGTCCTTGCTCTTCTCTTCTAATCTCCTTGAGGAAGAGCTAGAGCAATGGTCTCCAACATTTTTATGCCCAAGTTCTCTTTTTGAATGTAAGGGCAACCCAGGATCTACCTTGCTCCTTCCCTGAGGCAACGCCCCATCCCCAAAGCCCCGCCCACTCCATCCCCCCTCTCTCTGTCCCTTGCTCTCCCCCACCCTCATTCACTTTCACTGGGCTGGGGTAGGGGGTTGGCAGGGGGTGTGGGCTCTGGGATGAGGGGTTCGCAGTGTGGAAGAGGGATCTGGGCTGAGCCTGGGGCAGGGGGTTGGGGTGCAGGAGGGGGTGTGAGGTGCTGGCTTTGGAGTGGAGACCAGGGCTGAGGCTGGGATGCAGGAGGAGGTATGGGGTGCTGGCTCTAAGAGGGTGATCAGAGCTGGGGCAGGGGTTTGGGGTGCAGGAGGGGTTATGGGGTGCTGCTGGCTCTGTGAGGGGGGTCAAGGCTGGGGTAGGGGCTTGGGATTCAGGAAGGGGAATGGGGTGCTGGCTCTGGGATGGGCAGCCTCCCACTGGGAGGCACTTACCTCTGTCAGTGACACAGCGAGGCTAAGACAGGCTCCCTGCCTGCCGCGGCCCCATGCCACTCCCAGAGGGGCCCAACACCCCCCTGTGGACCCCAGGGGGAGCGGGGGCACGTGGCTCTTTGAGCTGCCCCTCTCTGTAGGCACCATCCCCAAAGCTCCCATTGGCCACAGTTCCCCGTTCCTGGCCAATGGGAGCTGCGGGGGCAGTGCTTGCAGGCAGGAGCAGAGTGTGGACACCCCTGCCCCTGCCCCCAGGGGCCACAGAGGCATGCTGGCCGCTTCCAGGAGTGGCATGGGGTCGCGGCAGGCAGGGAGCCTGCCTTAGTGGTAGGCAGCCCCACTGTGCCACCTCGGCCAGAGATCATGATCGACTGGGAGAGTCCCCAGGATCGATCAGTTGATCGCGATCTACGGGTTGGTGACCACTGTGCTAGAGGTAAAAGAGCTGCATTTAAGAGCTGAGGCTCTATACTGCTAGGAGAGAAAGCAAAGCACACTGAAAGGTCTAAGGTAAGGGAAGTGGAGTTTGCTTTATATATCCTTGGCTTTTCCCTAGTCTTTGCCTCCTTGCTTCCTGGTAGAATCAGACTGGTTGTCTGGAATCCTCCTCAAAAAGGGAGAAAAAGGAGTACAGATAGCAAACATTTTACTTTTTAAAAGCCACAACAAGACTGAATAGAAATCATCAGCCCCATTACTGTCTGTCATATTACTGTGCAACCAAAGGCCAAATTAGAAAAGTGGAAAAAACAGATACACTTTCAAAAGCATTTAATATTTCAATGAAATTAAAATGTACCTCAGGTTCAATGATCGTGATGGAGCTGAAAGCCCTTTATCCTTTTGAGAATATGAATATATATATATATATATATGCCTTCTTTAGCATTCATTGGGCTGGCAGTCTGGAAAATGTTAGTGTCCTAGTGGTTAAAAAGCACTTACAATACTGGCAGTTCAAACTAGCGTCATATTGGTTCACTTGACAGCCCTTTAACTTTGCTATAGCTCCAGGGAAAAAAACAGCCTTTTCAGAAAGACTCCTGTAGGGTTCTAAACCTTGTGAAGTATTCATTCATTTAAAATAAATATAGAAAAAATATTTGAGAGTGCAAAAAAAATCTTCATTGCTTATTATCTTTAATGCTATTTATTCCTCTGCCTTTAATTATACTACAAAGTAGTAATTCAAAGTAGTTATATTATAATTACATTTTAGAAATTACACATACTTTACAAAACAACAATATTTTTCCTTAATCATAGAAATGTAGGGATGGAAGTGACCTCAACAGATAATGTATTCCATCCCATGGCACTGAGCCATGAACCCCTGACATGTGTTTGTCTAATCTGATGGTAATTCCATAACCTCCTTTGGTAGCTTATTACAAAACTTAAGTGTCAGTATATCTGGAAAGATTTCCTTAATACTTTACCTAAATCTCCTGTGCTACAGATTAAGCCAATTAATTCTTGTCCGATCTTCTGCGGACATAGAGAACAATCGATCACCACTCTCCTTATAACAGCCCTTAATATATATGAAGATTGTTATCAGGTCTCCCCCTCAGTCATCTTTTTTCAAGACTAAATGTGCCCATTTTTCTAACGTCTCCTCATGATCGGGTTTTCTAAACCATTTATCATTTTTGTTGCTCTCCTCTAGATTCTCTCCAATTTATCCATATTTGTCTTAAAGTGTGGACACAGTACTCCAGCTGAGGCCTCACCAGCACCAAGCAGAGTGGGACAATCACCTCCCATGTCTTACATATGACACTCCTGTTAATACACCCCAGAAAGACATTAGCCTTTTTCATAACTGCATCACACTGTTGGCTCATATTCAATTTGTGACCCACTATAACCCCAAGATCCTTTTCATCAGTGCTACTGCCTAGCCAGTTATTCCCCACTTTGTAGTTGTGTTTTTGATTTTTTCTTCCTAGGTGCAGTACTTTGCTCTTCTCGTTCTTGAATTTTATTTTGCAGGTTTCAGACCAATTCTCCAATTTGTCAAGTCATTTTGCGGAATTCTAATACTGTCCTCCAAAGTGCTTGCAACCTCTTCCAGCATGGTGTCACCTGTAATTTTTATAAGCGTACTCTCTACTCCATTATACAAGTCACTAATGAAAATATTGAACTGCTCTTGACCCAAGATGGACCCCGGTGGGGTCCCACTAGATGAATTCTCTCAGTTTGACAGCAGATCATTGATAACTACTCTGAGTATGGTTTTTCAAGCAGTTGTGCACCCACTTTAGAATAATTTCATCTAGATCACATTTTCCTAGTTTGCTTATGAGCATATCATGTGGGACTGTGTCAAAAGCCTTATTAAAAAGGAGATACAGCTACTGCTTTCCCCCAGCCGCTAGGCCAGTAACCTCGTAAAAGAAGAAAATTAGGCTGGTTTAGCAGGATTTGTTCTTGACAAATCCACGTTAGCTATTACTTATTACCCTATTATCCTCTAAATGCTCACAAATGGATTGTTTAATGATTTGTTCCAGTATCTTTCCACGTATTGAAGGTAGGCTGACTGGTCTATCATTCCCCGGGTCCTCTTTGTTGCCTTTTTAAAGATAGGTACTATGTTTGCCCATCTCCACTTCTCTGGGACCCCGCCCATCCTCTGAGAGTTCTCGAAGATAATCACTAACAGTTCCTAGATTGCTTTGGCTAGTTCCTTAAGTACCCTTAAGTGAATTCTGAACCAAACTAGGCATTGAACACCTCAGCCTTCTTGATATCATCCATTATTAGCTCTCCTTTCCCGCTAAGTAGTGGACCAACACTTCCCTTTGTCTTTCTCTTAATGTATTTATAGACCTTCTTCTTATTGCCTGTTATTGTAACGCCGACAGACCCTGGTCGTTGGCAGGCGGGATCGAACCGGGGACCTCTGGAGCTTAGTGCATGAGCCTCTACAGCATAAGCCAAAAGCCAACTGTCTGTTAGCCAAGGCTGTTGAGCAGACTCATTTAACTCTCTGTCTAAGTGGTCTCAGTGCCACTAGAAGGGACAGAACACCACACCCAGGTGTGTGGGCTACATTATGTCCTTTGCTAGGTGTAACTCATCTTGTGTCTTAGCTTTTCTCATTTTGTCCCTACATGCTTGTATTATTCTATTGTACTCAATTGTAGCAATTTGTTCATGTTTCCACTTTTGGTAGGATTCCTTTTTGACTTTCAGGTTATTAAAGAGCTTCTAATGGAGTCATAGTAGCTTCTTAGTTTTCTTTCTATCTTTCCTTCACATAAGATTAGTTTGCGGTTGTGCCTTTAATATTATCTCTTTGAGAATCTGCCAGCTCTCCTGAACTTCTTTCTTAACAATCACAACATAATCCAGAGTGTATGTTGTGTAATACTGTTATAATTAGGTGACTGATGGCACTTACTGTGAGCTTCAAGCCTAACAAACCATACATTAAGGCCATATCATAGTTACACTTTAACATAAATCCAATTATGTCCTATTACTTACTCAAAAATTGCATTTGGTTAACCAATACTGACTTATATGGCTAGAAGGCCATGTCTTACTGTTATCTTTGACTAACTGTAGCTGAACACCTTTGAGGGTTGTTACTGGGAAAGATCCTTTTTTAGCCTAATCTTGCTCTCACTGAAGTCAATGATAAAATAATCACTGACTACAATAGGATCAGTTATGAGGGTCCATGATAACTCCTATGCCTTCCTTATTCTTGATATCAAGTTTCCAGAAATTTTTGCCCCTTGAAGGGACAGAATTCCCAGTAGGAGGGGGAAAACAAGTATAAAGTGGAAATCAATAAGTGGGAGGCAATGATGAAAGGTGGTTGGGATGATAGAGGCAGAAGAAACAGCTCCTCCACACACGGCTGCTATATCTTCAAGCATGCTAACTGTGCTGTTCACGTCTGATGCTAACTTTACTGTTCATTCAATCAGTAATGTTAAGGCAGAGACATTGATGTTGTAAATTTGGAAAAGCCAAAAGTGTTCTTGCCTGTTATCTACCTGTTTTGTGGAGGCTTACGTCTCTACAACTGTCAGTCAGCACCTTTCAGGAGCACTAAATTAATTTACAAGATAACAAAAGAAAACAAAAGGTTCAGAGCAGTTTGTGTAATACAAGGTTGATCAAGAAATAAGGCTTTTTTGTTTCATTTTAAATTTGAAAATGTGGTTCTGTTTCATCTATAAAAACTGTAAGCAAATGACATTTTAGTTTAAAATGAATTGTAAAGTTAATAGCACAATGTACTTACTTAGACTACTCAGTTGTCTAATTATATTTGCCAAGGAAATATTGGTGACACATTCCAGTTCATTCTTGATGCCTCTGGGCAGTGCTGTGTGACACAGGTGCCTGGGGTCTATGTTTCTTTTCACTAATGGCATTTTGAGATATCAGAGGGCTAGCACACCTGTGAAGAAATTAAACAGAAGCATTATTATAGTTTTTCTTAATTATTTTGGTTCAGATCATTACATCCAATCAAGTCATTAACACTGGCAAGATTAAAATACCTTCACATTTAGGTGAAGAAGGGATTTCTTTGGCCTGAAAGGTTAGTTACATGAACCTGTATATTTGAGCCTGATTTTCAAACTTGTGAACTTTTATCTGACTACTGTGTCAATGATACTATGAACATTTTCAAAAAGAAAAGGAGTACTTGTGGCACCTTAGAGACTAGACTTAGAGACCTTTACTTTTTGCGAATACAGACTAACACGGCTGCTACTCTGAAACCTATGAACATTTTGTTACTATTCATGTTTTTCTGAAAAAGATGGAAAACCCTCTTTCGTACTGTAATTGTATCTTTCTCGACACACTAGTTCCTTACGCGGTCCCAGGCAAAATCCAATGGGAAAATCCTCTTGATTTATGGGAGGAAGTCATACTCCCCTTTTCAAATCAGAGCAGTGGCTGTGTTAGCCTGTATCAGCAAAAATCACAGTGGAGTGAATTGGCCTCATTAGCACTGACCCCCCACTTGGTAAGGCAACTCCGATCTTTTCATGTGCTGTACTATTTATACTGCTTACTGTATTTTTTACTCCATGCATCTGATTAAGTGGATTTTAGCCCTTGAAAGCTTATGCCCAAATAAATTTGTTAGTCTTTAAGGTGCCACAAGGACTCCTCATTGTTTTCTCAAATCAAACTCCCTTCCTATTGAGACAGACACAGCGCTCATATCATTCAGTCTGGAAGGCAGGTATGAGAAGCAAACTTCTGAATTGCTGACTCCGTTGGGAAATTTGAAGTTAAGTTAAAAAAAATTAAGCATTGTATTTTAAACCCTAAATCAGAACTTTGTAATTTTTACATGCGTTTTGCATTATGTCTACAACAGTCTCATAACGCTGTTTTAAATTAAAACTATTTACAACTGTAATTCTATTTTTGTTTGGGAATTTCTTGAAAATTTGGGGAAATTCCGCCCCCCCCCTTAATGAATGAAAACTTGATATAGAAGGAGTCACTACAATTTGGAGAAAAAAAGTTCCAGTTTATGAGGGAATCAGACCCCTTACTGAATGATTAGCTGCACTGGGCACTTGCACTTGCAACAAAAAAGAAATTTTACAGCCGAACCTGCCCACTTGCTGAGGCAACTGAGAGAAAGGCAAGAAAACCTGTCCTGCCAAGGACAATCTGGCAGAGAAGGAAAAATTCCTTTGAAGCCACAAAAAGATGATTAGGCATAACTACAACAAGGCCTCAAAACCCAGTCCTTCTCTGATCCCCAAGGGTGTTTTACTTCCTGGCAGGTGGAAGACTTTATAAGTCCCTCCCATTGGGTATGTTGAAGTCAACAGGCTCCCCTCCCTTCATCAAGCCCATGAGGAGGTAGAAGGCCCATGAGTAAGGGAAGGGTGTGTGTACAATCCTTAAAGGGGCAAAGGGCTTTCTTTTCTATGTCAGCCCACACAAAGCCTCACATCTCTGAGGCTGTGGGCGAGGCAGGGGGTGGTACAGGTCTATATGGAGGATTATGTGGAACTGATCTATCCCATGTTCTTTATAAAGACCTGGTGGACAGGTCTCTCACCAATGCCAGCGTGCAAAGGGAATGGGACCAGGTTCTGCCTCCTCCCCACCCCATTTGGAGTAGTGTTTACCCTGAGTTTCCTCAAATACAGAGACTGGGATTGTGACTGACCCTTATATGTGATGCCTGGAGAAAGAAGGCTCCTTGAAAACTCCTCTGTCACCTTCATATTGCATAAAGGCTAGTCACAATGTGATCCGTTATGTATTGAGTTGATAGTCTTTAAGTGCTATGCTTTCATTACAATAGCTATTAAATTCTGACAGATATCACCAATTTTTTTAAGCAGTGAAAATGCGTTGGATCTGATTTTTCCTTGTTTAATTCCTACCCCACGGTATAATGGCACTGGTGAAAAAAGTGAACACATTTTAAAAAGTACCAATTTAATGCGATTTGAATGAACTACCTTTGAAAAGTGAGATAGTTACTTAATCCACTATGTTACATGCAGGCACAGATGCATCCTCTGTCCTCTAAAAGCCTTCAGCAGCTAACTTTTCTTCCTCATTCTTACCTTTTTCAAATGCCTCTGGCAGCTCCAGAGGAACCTGCCTGTGGCACTTCTGCCCTGCACATGCACAACATCGCCAATAGGAGCAACTCTGTCAAAATGACAAGGATTATGTCAGTTTCATTCTGCTCCTAATGCTGAGGGAACACTTTGGGGAGCCCCCCAACTCATTGCTTTATAAAACACTTTGGGATGGTCTGAAAGCTGCCAACATATGAAACCCAAAGTCTCTTCTATGAAAATAGGGTGTGTGTGGAATTTTTAGGAATCTCCCCTCCCTCTCCCAAACCACTCCCAGAACACCGGGAGTTTAGCAAAAGAAATACAACTTTTACCAGAAATTGCAACTTTTAGTGATTAACTTAACTTTCAGTCACAGATGGGGGACACCATTTTGAAGAGCGCCCTGCCCTGCCCCCCGCGTGACCTTGCGCACATCATGCATGCAATATCACACAGGCGGGGGCAGGGTGGTGCACTCTTCAAAATGGCATTCACCATCTGAAACTGGACAAAACCACATCTTGTTTTGTCTTGTACCAGACCTAGGACAAACTTTAAAAAAAGCAGGACCGTCCGGCTTAAAACTGGGCGAATGGCTTGCCTATCATGAGCACAGGCACAGGCATTGTTTTCCCTTGCAGAACTGGCCTACAGAATTATTTCAGAAGTGCAAGGAGTGTGGGAAAATGTTAAATTCTGCAATCTTGTGACAAATATAAACCCCAATTGTCAGGATAATAGGTCACATTTCCTATCAGGGGCAGTCAGACAGGAAGATCAGAAGGATGGCAAATGTACATATAACTGAGAAAAAACCCAAATGCTCCACCTTTGCTGCTGACTTGCTGCCCACAAAACTAACTGGTATTTAATCTACATTTCAGTCTTATTCTTGGAAAGCTTGTAGAATCTTCTAGATCAAGAGGACTTTTAAAAAGTTACTTCTCATTAAGTTCCATTTGGGGACTATCAACCTTGACAATATTTCCTTAATGTTAAGGGACGTCATGTATCTATGTCCCTACACAGTGTGCTGAAAATGTAGCACTGAATGTTCTTGCTTTAAAGGATTTAAATCAGACTTATATTTTCTTTAATATATTTTTGTGCCTTAATATTGCCATGATTCTTCCTACCTATGTTTTAAAATACGCAGTCCAGTAATGCTTTGTACAGCCCCAATTTTCACTCAATCGTTCTTTGACTGCTAGCAGAATGTTACACTTCAAAGTTTGTGACAGTCAAATTTAATATAGATTTTTTTAAAAATAGCAATAGAGTACATAACAGTCATTGTGTCTGCCTACACAGTCACACACTACCAGTACCCAACTCATTGCTTTATACAGCATTTTGGGATATTCTGAAAGTTGCTAGCATATGAAACCTAAAGTCTCTTCTATTAAAACAGTGGAAGTTTTAGGAATCTACTCCCCTCCCCACAAAAAAACCCAAAAGATTATCATCCATGGCTTAGTAAAAGAAATATAAAGTTTCACCAAAAATTGCAAGTTTTAGTGATTAACTTAACTTTCAAAATATTCTACTATATTTTACAGGAAACTTAGCAGCCATGGATTTATTACGTAATGTTGATATCACAGCCTCAGATTTAGGGACAAATTCTGATATCTTGCCAGAGCAGCTCCACAGTGGTAGCAACAAGATTTCAGAGGAGAAGGCTAGTGTGTGAACACCTAATTATGATGCTTAGTACCAACCTATCACTGAAGTTATATAATATTTACAGTTTGGAGACACCGGCATTATACTAGGTCACTCAAATTGTGCGTGTGTAATTTAGTAGTGTGTTAACTACATTTAAAAGTTAAAATGATGTGTCTAATAAACCAGTACTGGGCTCATGTCCTATAACGGCATATTACTTCAACTAGTGTTACTAGGAGATTTATACTTTAAATTCCTGTGCATGCAAGTGTATAAGCTTGAACAGAAGCTGCTTCCCCGCTATGCCGCCTATGGGGACTTGGGGATTTCCAGACCACTGGATTTGTGCTTATACAGGTGGGAAGAGAAGGCTACTCCTTAAGTATAAGTTAAACTTCTCCCTTCTGTGCAGACCTATTAGGAACACATGTTGAGCACAAACTCCTAATGGGCAGGACTTGTGGAAGATCAACTTTGCATTGACTTCACCTTCACACCCCATCTCATGACTACGATGGGCTTCTACAGTGTGAAGAATTCTGCAAGATGAAAGACTTTGCACTGGCCCTCTGTAAACAGTAAATGCTGAGATATGTGCTGAATGTCCTTCTTACCCTTGCTATTAAGATGGAGTGTTCAGCACAAAGCTCTCCAATTTTTTGTTAATAACACCTGCAAATGCTTCAGATGAGATAAATAGCATCCACACTTTGCCAACATCCACACTTTTGTTAAGTGGGAATGCTATTTGTTGCTGTTCTCTTAGACTATTTTCTGACTTGCAAGTCTAAATATGGTTAAGTTTTTAAAAAAAATCCATAATTAAAAAGGTTTTTCTCTCTTTTCATTTCTGGATTTTTGTATCTTAAACCGGCATAAATGAGCTTCAATTTGTTATGCAATAATTGGTTTTTAATCATATCATCTTATTCAAATTCTCGTCTGCACCTACTTTTATGTTATCTACAATGTAAAACTGTTATTTGTGACTTTAAAGATTAATACTTTTTTTAACGCAGAAACAAAAATAACCAACTATCAGCTTCCAACAAACTTACCCATATTTAATTAACAAAGATGTATAGATTTACTTGGTGTCTAGCTTGATAATAGCTGCAATTTATTTTTGTCTAAGAAAATTAACTATTTTACAGACCGATTCCTAGAAAGACCTTTC